TGTGGGCAGGAGGGGGCGTCCTGTGCCTGCCGAGCCGCGCCGGCCAGCGCCAGCTCCCCGGTCCCAGGCAGAATTGCTTCCTGTGAAAGTGCCATTAAACCATTACTACCTTTCAGGGCATAAAATGAGAAACCTGTCCAGGAATCTGGAACAAAAGCAGTGCATTTTTCTAAATGGGAGAGCTTAATGAGGCTGGCTGTGACCCACTGTTTTATGGGAGTTGTTTGGAGGAGGAGGATGCTATTTCATTTAGCCTGGGAACTTCCGAACTTTGTCTCTTCCTCTTTTGTTTTCCCCCTCGAGCCTGAGCTCTGTTTTCGGAGCATAAACTTTGTGGAGCACGCCCACTCCATTATATTTTCGTTCAGTCTTTTTACAGGTCTCGCTGTTGTCAGCTGCACATTGTTCAGGAAGTGTGTGCTTGAAACGCAGCCTGGGCTCGGGGTGCTGGTGCTGGCCTGGGGAAAGCTGCCTGTGGCTGTCCCATGAACTAGAACAGAACAATCCTTTGTGTTTGAGGGCCATAAAGGAATAAAGCCCTTCGGGGCTGGCAGTCGAGGCTTTGGGCTTCTAACAAGAGCCGAATGTTACTGTTAAGAGCCTTAAGATGGGCAGGGGGTTATTCCTGGGTGCGCAGGGCTGCGGCCTCGTGCTGTCGTATCCCCCGGCATTTTGAGACGCATCTGCAGCGCCCCGCTAAAATTGCAGAACGTTTCTCTTGCCTTAAACAGAGTTAATTGTTCCTCCAAGCCCGCGTAGAGAATGGGTGAGAGCGTGGCTGGTTCTTGTGTCTTTTCCAGCTTGCTTCCCATCACTGCCAAAGGAATTCGGGAGTGCTCAAGGCACTGGTTAGGCTCACAGGAGAACCCACGGCTGCGTCTTCACTGGGTCGTGTGTTTCCCGCCCCTAATACACCCTAGACTTTGGTTATAGGTTTCGCAGGCTTCATGCTTCACTTCAGCATCGATATCTGGCTCTAAACGTGCCCTCAGAAGGGGGGTTGTGGCTGCTCCTGTTCTAAAAACGGGCCCTCAGTTAAGATGGCGGTGGTGTTGCCAGAGATGGGTGGCTGGGAGGAGAACCCCGATACCTCTCCCGCTGGGGCACGCCTGTGAAACGAGCGGGAGCTGTTCTGACCGATTTCTCTCTTTCCTGACACCTCTAGGATTACGGAAAAGAAGGTAGTGAAAATAACGTCAGAAATATCGCAGATGGAGGTAAGGTTCCTTCTGCTACTTCATCCTCCGAGGTGTCGGTTTCCTTATTCACTTCATTCAGAGTCCCTTTTGTGCGTTGCTGGGGCTGTGTCAGTGTTCCCATTGTAAACCTGCTTTATTTTTCCCTGATTTTATATTAATGACCGGTCGCTGGCTGTGGAGTGACCTGGCAGGGTGGTGACCCCATGGCACGTTTCGTTTTGACGCTAGATCTCGAGGAATGTTTCTCTCAATTGTCCGTTAATGCCTCTCTCCGTGCTGCTCCCTGCCCTTGCTTTCCGCCACCAACCACCATTGACCCCACCTCAATATTTCCAACTTAGCAGCGACAAGCTGAGTCGTTCCTGGGGTGTCGTTCCGTGGCAGACAAAGATGGGCTTTGCCCCGTAGCGTCCCCTGCTCTGGATGATAAAGGCTGATAGACTTGAACCGCCTCTGTTATGACTCTGGTGTATAAATTGCGTTTCCTGCTGTTGCGAACACGAAAAGCTCCGCTGCCGAGTTCACCAGGCCGTGGCACATCCCTGTCCCTCGGGCCTTGCTGCAAGCCCCGTTGCTTCAGACACATAAAACTACAAAGCTTTGTTGAGGATACGCTTCAGGGAGTAATCAGCTGGGGAGGAACTGATACGAGCTAACAGATCATCTCATCTTTATCTTCTCTTTGTCACTTACATTTGCTGGGCTTATTTAAAACAAACACACTTAGAAGCTGCCGATTCCTCTGGGAAAACTTTGCGAAACTTTGAGTTTCAGGAATCTGATTGTGGTTCTCTAATCCCAGCCCCCCCCCCCTTATTTTTTTGCTCATGTTCCATAAGAAAGAAATCGCTATGAAAACACGATTCTTGTCTCCCTGCTGTTCGCCACTACTTTAGAGTTTTAATCTTCTGTTTGGGACACGATCATTTCCACAGCAACCGGGGTGGTGTCGCAAGCGGAGGATTATGACCTCAGTGAAGGAGTAATGAGGAGAAACATAGTACCTGATGTGAGCTGGAAGGTGTTGCTGAAGGAGCGATGTCCCCTGTGATGCGGGGCTGCCCTTGGCCGGAGCTGGTTAAAGAGCTCGTTAAGCGAACTTGCTGAAGTTACCCTCTTGCCCTTTGTTTTT